TGCTTGCATTGAGATCTAGGATCCTTTCATCTGAAGAGGCCCAGTATATTTGGATGTGTGGCTTAGAAAGCCACCAAGAACCCCCTCTCTCCTGAAAAGAAAAGGGCAAAAAGAAATCCAATCTGTACATTTTGCACACCCGCCTTGCACTGCCTTACTTCTGTTGCCACCACATTGTTTACCCAACCACCATCACTGCTTATTTCTTATTACTCTGCTGCAACCACCTTTTGCCAGCACAATCAGGATTGTCAATTCAATTATTACTTCCATCAGGGCATTTATTGCAACCACCACATACACTTTTGATGATTTTCCTCTGTGAATGGAGATGGAACTTTTTTCTCTTCTACTGATGGTACTATAAATATTACTGGTTTCTCCATGAGATATATTGCCAACTTGCTTTTCTTTGTCTTCTCATCTTGAACTTTGCTTAGAGGAGTACCAGAGTTTCTTCTGGCAAATCAATACCTTCTCCTTCTCAACACCATATTCGGTGTCTTATTTGTGACAGCCCCACCTCATCCCTTTTTCCATGGTAGCAACAGCATCCACAAAATAGCTGGATTCTCTGATTATTGCATACCCGTTAGGCCGCAAGATCCGATCCATCTCCAACAGCACATACACTTTTGATGATTTTAAAGACTGCCTAGCTCTAGTAACCTAACATGCCTACCATCGTAATTGCATTCTCTTTGTGCTTTAGTGTGGCATCTTAATTCTTGGCTGCTTCTGTTGTTTCTTGATGCTTAGAATAATGTATATGAATTTTATGCTGTCGAAGCCCTTCGAGAAAGATCCTCTAAGAGTTTTTCTATGACTCTCTGATTAAGTTATTGCTTTAAACCTTTATGAAAAACTGCATACATGTAATAAATGTTACATATGTATAAGTTCAAAACTGTTGTGAGTAGATAGATACTAGACAGGCAGTTTTGGGGGTTTGAGCTTGCTTTTTTCTGCATTCTTTCTTTAATGGGAATTGTGCACCCAGTTCTGTGCAAGTTGGTGGCCTTCATATGGGATTGCTTGTGAATTTGCCTTTCAGTTTGTACCAACTGATCACCAATCAGCATGCTAAACCAGGTTTTCATGGCAAACCAGAACAGCTACCTCAAGATGTGTTTTCATTTCTTCTAAGTTTTGATTTGATTATCCACCACCTTTTTTCTTGATCCAAACCTGATTGGAGTTATATTTTCTCTCTTTTTTGTTATGATCTCTCTGGGAGTCTCATTTACATCTTTCATCCACTATATCTTAGGTATGACATGGGTTCTAACTGTTGGTGGAAGGAGACGAGGGTTCCAAGAAGGGCCACCAATGACCTATCAGTTGGATTTGTTGCATTGAATGGGGAGCTGCACATAATGACCCTTCTAAGTGAAATTGATTCAACAGAGAGACAAAGGTCAAGACAGCAAAAGAGGTCAACACTGTTCATACAAATATATCATCCTAGAAAGAAGACATGGAGATCCTTAGTCACAAAGCCGCCTTTGCATCAACCATTGGATTTTAAAACTGCAGTTATGTGCACCATTCGGCTGTAGACTGAATGAGTATACTGGTGTGTAGTGCTATTGTTCGTACATAAAGGTTTAACTATCTGTATTTTTGTTATGATCAGTCAGCATACTTGTACATGCCATTATCTAGGCTTAATGGTATTTGATTTCTGCAGGGACAACTATTTTGTTGGTTTTGACCAACATTATGTAGATAAAAAAAAAGTAAATAAACAAAATTGTGTATTTCTGATGATTCCTGTCTAGTGCTTGCTGTGAACTGTTGTTTTCTGTCTATTGCTTGCTGTGAACTGTTGTTTCGAAGATTGCCATCATCGCTATTTTGTTTAGCTGAGTATATTGTATATCTAGTTGCACACAAGGCCTCTCCGTTCACTGTGCATCCCACATTTAATTATGTAAGGTTGCATGCATTGCAGATGCTCCTCATTTTGTGTGATTGCTTGCAAGTTATTATTATTCGATCTCTGAAATGAGCAACTGGTGACATAGGATGAGTATTCAAAGAATGTTGATTTAAATTTTTATTGTGCCACGTAGACAAGGATGTCCAATGGGTAGAGACTATCCGTGGTAAGAAAGATGAGGCAAGGTTGGATTCGTTTAGCGAGAAGATTGGGATCTCTTTATTTGATAGATCGGTGGCTACTTGAAACAACATACCAACTGTGTGGTTATGAAAGATGGGGCAAAGAGGCATTGGATTGACTGGAGATTAATAGGAATCATACAATTTCATAAATGGATTGATTACTTTACGCCGCCTGTGAGCGACGATATGTTGGTTGAATCCACTGCTACTCACTCCCCTTCAAGCAGCCTGCCCACCCTCGCCATCAAAGCTGCAGCCAAAATAAGGAAACGCTCCAGTGACCGACCACCTTTCACTCTGGTCCGTCCCAGGGTAGTTTGTGCCAATCTGACCGTGTAAGGCCTGTCGCGTCTAATCTTGGACATAGATGAATATAGAACATGGGTTGGTGATCAGGCATCGAGTATAAAGAATAGTCAAATTTAGTTCAATTTGAGTTTTAATCATAATCACATCAAATCGAAAATTGAATTTTACGTTCGACTCAATTAACATTTCTATCTTACACTTTCAAATTAATTTTTATTTATTTCTGTTCATAGTGACACAATAATTTTTTTTAAAATTTGATGATGCACAAAAATGGTTTTGCACACCATCAGTCAAGTGTAGATAATAAATGCAATGAAATCAATGAAAAAATTGAAGAAGACACAATTTATAGTGGTTCGATCAATTCGACCTACGTCCATTCTTCAATGGCTTCAGTTGCCGGGTATTTTATTGATTCAAAGGTATGGAGAATGGAGATACAAGCTTTGAGAGAGAGAATGGAGAATCAAAGAAAATAGTAATCTCCGGTAGTCGGTTCGTCCTCTGTCGGTCTCTCGTGGGGCGTGATCTCTCTCTTCTACCAGATTGGAGCTATTTTATAGCAGCTAAGAGATCATCCTCCTGGAGATCATGACATATCCTCAAGGCTTCTTTATCGCAGCTAAAAGATTATTCTTGGTAGAGATTACGACTTATCCTCAACAGAAGGAGGAGGTTGGGGAGCTCTTCATGAAACGTGGTCAAAGATAGGACCGTTTCCTTCGGTGGTACAGATAAGCTTCTCGTGCTCTCCTCTTGGTGACGTGCTAAGCAAGAAGTCTAACCGGCTTTGGACTGTCTTGGACTTGGTGGATTTGGACCGTTTCCTTTGGTGGTGCAGATAAGCTTCCCGTGCTCTCCTCTTGATGACGTGCTAAGCAAGAAGTCTAACCGGTCTTGGACTGTCTTGGACTTGGTGGATTTGGACCGTTTCCTTTGGTGGTGCAGATAAGCTTCCCGTGCTCTCCTCTTGATGACGTGCTAAGCAAGAAGTCTAACCGGTCTTGGACTGTCTTGGACTTGGTGGAATCAAAATGAGGTTGGGCTCCTCAACTGGGGTTGGACTTTAACACATAAATTGGACTATTTGGGCTTAACCCATCATTTGCCCCCCCAATGCCCCATGTCCAAGGAGACTTGGAGAAGGAGGCATTGATTTTATTTTATTTTTTTTTTATTTTCAAGTCTTTTCCACTTTATTTTAAAGAAGGCCCATAATATTCTGTTTGGCCTTTTTATTTTGAAAATGACTTATAACTTTCTTTTTGGCCACTTTATTTTGAAGAGGGCCCATAATTTTTATTTGACAACTTTATTTTGAAGAGGGCCCATAATATTCTATTTGGGTTTTTTTCCTCTTTTTGAAAAACCCTAGACTATAAATATAGTCTTCTTCTTCATGTTACCCATTTCACTTATTTTTAAGGTTGAACACCCACCTCTTGAAAATTTTGAGAACTCAAGTCCTACCCATTTTGTTGAAGCCAAAGTGTGTTCTCCTTGAATCCTTTCAAGAGTGTGATTTCTTCCTTGCTAGTTGAGCTTCTCAAGTGAACAATGTCGATTGAAGAGAGAGTGGTGGAGGTTGAAGAAAGGGAGGAAGTAGGCACCATTTTGGAGAACTTGGAGGCTAGTTTTGAGCATTCGAATGTCTTGGACAGCTTTGGGGCTGAAAATGAAGGGCTGGACAGCGAAGGGAAGATGGGTAGCGCGAGGAGTGGCTTGGGCAGCGCAGGGAGACGGCTGAGCAGCGCTCGCGCGCGCGCTGGGGGCTTGGGCGGCTGCTCTGCGCGCGCTGGGGGCTTAGGTGCTGGGGGCCTGGGCGGCTGCCTAGGCTCTGCTCCTCCTGTCCTGGACAGCCCAGACGCGCTGGGCAGCTGCCTGGGCGCTGGCCTTGCTGTCCTGGACAGCCCAGGTGCGCTGGGCAGCAGCCTAGCTGCTGCTTCTGCTGTCCCGGACAGCTTCAGACCTGCTGCGCTGGGCGGTTTTGGAACGCTGGGCAGCAGCATTTTTCCATCAAGGAGCGCTGAAAATCAGTCCAAAGTTCATCAGGGAGAGCTAGGCAGTGGCCTGGGAGCACGGGCTAATTTGATTCCCACTCGAGGTGCTGATTTGGGCGTCTTAGGTGCTGATTTTTACGCCAAAAATTCTGTTTTGCGCAATTTTGAAGGGCCAGACACCCTTCAAGCTACTGGGCAACTTTGTTTTGACGAGCAACAACAGTCAGGCACACTTCTAGGCGTTGGGCTAGACATTGCAAGTAGTAAGGAAGCTTTGGGTGCTGCTCTTGATGATCAAGCCCTTCTCCAGGTGCTGGGCGCCTTGGGTGAGCCTGGGGCTGCCTCGGGAGAGCCTGCTTGAGATGACAAAAATAATGTTATTCCAAACATTAAAATATCTCACATAATTACCTGGAGAGAGAGAAGTAGGCTGCTTGTGCGAGAGCGAAGACAGAGTTAGAGAATGCTCGTGAGAGAGCTACACTTTTTGAGACCTAGCTTTTGGCGATCCGTGAGAGAGCCGTTAAACTGGCGATAGACTGCCTGTTTGAGAACAGTGCAGAGGCCAAAAATTTTTTTGGCGACCTGTGAGAGAGCCGCTAAACTGGAGATAGGCTGCCTGTTTGAGAACAGTGCAGAGGCAGGCCAAGTTTTTTGGCGACCCGTGAGAGAACCGCTAAACTGGAGATAGGCTGCCTGTTTGAGAACAGTGCAGAGGCAGGTCAAGTTTCTGGTGATCTGTGAGATGATTCACCTTGCCTAAACTTGTTGATTTCCTCAGCATTCATATATCTTTGAGCTTTTGTGAATAGTTCTGGCATGCTCTTTGGTGGTTGCTTTATTACTGAAAAAAGGAATCTGGATGAACGGAGGCCACCCAAGAAGGCGGTCATCGTCACCTTGTCGTCAGGTTCATCAACTTGGAGTACCTCCTCGTTAAAACGAGTGAGGTAACTCCTTAGGCTCTCCTCGCGGTCCTGCTTTATACTAAGCAGGTGCGTAACTGGCTTCTGGTGGCGACGCCCTCCTATGAAGTGTGAGACGAATGATCTGCTAAGCTCGGCAAAAGAGGTAATAGAGGCGGGGGAGAGCTTAGCAAACCACTGTCGGGCAGACCCCTTTAATGTGGTTGGGAATGCCCTGCACATGATTTCGTCTGGTACGTTGTGCAATTGCATCAAGGTCTTGTAAGTGTCGAGGTGGTCCAGTGGATCCTTTGTTCCATCAAAGGTCTCCACAGACGGCATTTTGAACTTCTGAGGGAGGGGGTAGTTTGCTACATCAGGTTTGAAAGGGGTATCAGTACGCCTTACCAATTGGTCAACAGTTTCGGGTCCTTGTGCCTTCATGGCATTGAAGACATCACCGAGTTGATTTTGTACCTCCTTTATCTTCTCGTCCCAATGATTGGGGGCTCCTATGGAATGATCATGGAAGTGGCTTCCATGCCCCATGCTTTGGTTTTCACCCTCATCCTCCTTGAGATAAGGGTCCTATCCCTGGAAAGCAAGGGGAGGGGGAGGTGCAGCTCCCTCATGTTGGGCTTCCCGAAGTGAGGTGCCCAATGGGGCACCCGGGCGTGGAGCAACAGGGCGTGGTGCTCCTTGATGTCCAGGATGTGGAGCTCCTTGGGGTGCTCTATGTTGTGCACCTCCGTGGGGCCCTCCATGTTGTGCACCTCCGTGTGGTGCTCCACCTTGGGGTCCTCCATGTTGGGCACCTCCGTGTGGTGCTCCTCCTTGTCCAGCAAGTATGAGTTGCAGTAACTGTTAGTTTTGAGCAACCAATTGCTGCATGGTCTCCAATATTTGTTGGGGATTCGGGGCTAGAGTATCCGGAACAGGGTTGATAGGCGGGGGAGCAACCTCCTCCTCTCGTGGAGGATTGTCTTCGTGTTGGTTCATGGATCGAGTAGTGATCGCCATTAGTTAATGGATGTAATGTTCATGAGTGAGAATTTTGTCGAATTTCCCACAGACGGCGCCAAACTGATGGTGCACAAAAATGGTTTTGCACACCACCCGTTAAGTGTAGATAATAAATGCAATGAAATCAATGAAAAAATTGAAGAAGACACAATTTATAGTGGTTCGGTCAATTCGACCTACGTCCACTCTTCAATGGCTTTAGTTGCCAGGTATTTTATTGATTCAAAGGTATGAAAAATGGAGATACAAGCTTTGAGAGAGAGAATGGAGAATCAAAGAAAATAGTAATCTCCGGTAGTCGGTTCGTCCTCTGTCAATCTCTCGTGGGGCGTGATCTCTCTCTTCTACCAGATTGGAGCTATTTTATAGCAGCTAAGAGATCATCCTCCTGGAGATCATGACATATCCTCAAGGCTTCTTTATTGCAGCTAAAAGATTATTCTTGGTGGAGATCACGACTTATCCTCAACGGAAGGAGGAGGTTGGGGAGCTCTTCATGAAACGTGGTCAAAGATAGGACCGTTTCCTTCGGTGGTACTGATAAGATTCTCGTGCTCTCCTCTTGATGACGTGTTAAGCAAGAAGTCTAACCGGTCTTGGACTGTCTTGGACTTGGTGGATTTGGACTGTTTCCTTTGGTGGTGCAGATAAGTTTCCCGTGCTCTCCTCTTGATGACGTGCTAAGCAAGAAGTCTAACCGGTCTTGAACTGTTTTGGACTTGGTGGAATCAAAATGAGGTTGGGCTTCTCAACTGGGGTTGGACTTTAACACATAAATTGGACTATTTGGGCTTAACCCATCAAAATTTAATTATTTTTCCAATCAATTTTAATTTGATTTCAACTTGAATATTTGTAAAATCAAAATAAAGTTAAATTTAAATAAGAATATTTATATAATAAAACAAAAGGGTGTTTAAATTTTATCCTTTTATCCTAGTCATATTTTTTTCCTCAAAACCATCATCAATCACTTATCTCACTCATTATCCATTTGTCAGACTCAAATGTCAAATCACATCACTCATTTCTATTACATATTTAATCATTTATATATTTACTCCCTAAAAATATCACACCACTCATTTTTATCATATAT